ATGGCTTGATTTACAATCTATCTTTCAGGATACAAGTTACATTTTATTATCTTTCATGGTGCCTAGCTCGTAACAGACACTTCTTTATCCGGTATCTAGCATTTCAAAGGCATTCCAAAATGTGTGATAGTTCCCAGCACTTCAAAAACATTCCAAGATCAGTTCTAATCAGTGCTTGATACTGCCTTTTCTCACTTCAAAAGGAAACATCCCTTTTTCATCATGAGCTTTGAGTCATAAAATGAATACACTTCCCACAAAAGTAAAACCAGAAAGTCCAGTTGCCTCTTGAAAAAGCACCTTTGGGACAGCCATGATCTGGATGACTAAGAATCTCCATAGACACGATGGTGTGTAAGTGGGAAAGAAAGGCTTTATGTTTGGTGTTCTCATTTTGAATGTGCAGGGAGACCCTATTTGCAGCAGAACTCCTAAATGCACATCATGGTGTTCATAACATGTTTTTATACAAAGCAGCTTCTCCATTCTTCAGGCCTTGCTCTCCTTCTTCAAGCAAGCTGTAGGGCCAGATGCACAAGAGCTTTGTTATTTCTTTCTTCAAATACATATATGGGGGTGTCTTTTGTTTTTTTAAGACAGACAGCAAAGGAACTTACATTACCTTTTCCATAAAAACAAAAACCAAGCATTTGTTCTTAGACACCAGTGTCAGAAACTTTGCTTAATACCTAGTGTTTTAAATTGTGTCTTTTTTTTTTTTTTTAGGATTGGGCCTGGCCCTTAATTTCCAGCCATCCCTTATCATGCTGAATCGCTACTTTAGCAAAAGACGGCCTTTGGCCAATGGGTTGGCTGCAGCTGGAAGCCCTGTGTTCCTCTGTGCTCTTTCCCCCCTGGGACAGGTACTGCAGCATAAATATGGATGGCGAGGGGGATTTCTCATCTTGGGAGGATTGCTTTTCAACTGCTGTGTTTGTGGAGCTCTGATGAGACCTTTGGAAGGTCCAAAAAAACAGGAGGCTTTGAAACCAACCGAGAAACGCAAAAAGCTATTGGATTTCACCGTTTTCAAAGATACTGGCTTTGTAATCTATACAGTGGCTGCATCCATTATGGTGCTAGGCTTATTTGTGCCTCCAGTTTTTGTAGTGAGCTATGCTAAGGATCTGAAGTATGAGGACACCAAATCAGCTTTCCTTCTGACAATTCTTGGCTGCGTGGACATTTTTGCTCGACCTCTTTGTGGAATACTGGCTGGCTTGAAGTGGGTTAGGCCCCGTTGTGTCTATTTCTTCAGTTTTGCTATGTTTTTTAATGGTTTCACTGATCTCATGGGCTCCTTTTCTTCCGATTACGGTGGCCTGGTGGTGTTCTGCATCTTCTTTGGCATTTCCTATGGAATGGTTGGTGCTCTTCAGTTTGAAGTTCTCATGGCTATTATTGGTACACAGAAGTTTTCAAGTGCCATTGGCTTAGTTCTTTTGGTTGAAGCAATGGCTGTTCTAATTGGCCCACCTTCAGCAGGTAAGTACTTCAATTAACTAACGAGGTCAGTTGTTCCATTTTTATGGAAAGAGGGGGAAAAAAGATGAACTGAGGGAAGAAATAAGAACTCTGAAACTCCCACCCTGGGTGTTGTGTTTGTATTGCTGTGTTACTATCTTTTCTATTTTCCCTGCTGTTGTCTGAGAATTAGAGGTCAATTTGCTATTCTGTTCTCTTGCATGCAGATTAACGTAATTGAAGGCCAAAAGCAGGAACATTTCTTTATTAAATCTCTATAGTCTCTCTCCCCCCCCCCCCGCCATCTCAGTCAGTGACTCTGGGCTGCTTATTATTCAATTTACCTTAGAGATGGGATATAAACAGAAGATTGTTTCAATCCAGGCCTCAAAGTAAAGAGAAAAAGAAAGAAAACAAAAGACTAGCAAGATGTGGATCGAGTAGGTCCATCTCCTAATTAGAATTAAATAGTAGGCAATTCGGGGTGCGTGTGTGTGAGTGAAATGAAGTAACTCGCCACAACTTCTATTCTAAATTATATGACCAAGGAAAATAATACTGTACCTTCAAACCTACTAGAGCAGAAGCAGATGCAAAAGCAGAGAGAGGAGCATGAACTAATTGTAATTTGTGTGCAGCCTATTCAAATAAGCCGCCTCAGTGCATTGAAAATGAACAACTGAAGAGAAAGCTAAATCATAGAATTGAAAAAAAAATACTTCTCCTTTCCCATGAATGTTCTGTGATGTTCTGTTTTATAGGACAATATAGTCTAAAGAGAATAGTTTCAAGTTGAGGTTTTTCAATTCGTAAGTCAACAATTTGCATATATATTACCGGCACCTATTAGTGTATATATAAGCTAGGTTCATGCTGTCACCATTGCTTTTTTTTATTCCTCTCCCTCCCATTAACCTTTTCAATAAAATTCTATCATTAGATTAGTACATTAGTACATTTTTCCCAAACATGTTCACTTCAGCTTTCTAAAATGATTAAAAATGCAATAACTAGATTTAACTGAATATGCTGTTAAAAGATATGAATTTTCTATTTCAGGAAAACTCCTGGATGCAACTCACAAGTATAAGTATGTTTTTATTTTGGCTGGTGCTGAAGTCATTACCTCCTCTGTGGTGCTGGCCTTAGGAAATATCTTCTGCATCAAAAAACCTGCAGAAACACACCAAGATCATGCTGAAAGAGAAGGGTTAGATCAACTACCAGGAGAATCCAAAGTGGACTCTATTGAAGTGGAACATTTTCTGAAAGATGAAAAAAATGGGAAAGTTGTAACCAACCCAGAAACATGTGTCTGAATGTTACCAGAAATGAATGCCCAACATTTAGAGAAAGATTCGGACACTTTTAATATTTGTATTTATTTTGGTAATAAGCTTTGCTTAAGATTGGGCCATTATGTTTGGGAACTAGAGATCAAGCAGCTCATCACTTCTTGGAAGCTGGTTTGTTAGGAAGCTTTTTTCCCTGTTTTAAAATAAGGATTGATCTTCAAGTTAATTTGCTTGGGCATAACTACTGCTGTAAACTAACCCATGGCCTTCTAAACACACAGAGATCGTGCTTTGCACTACCAGAAAACATTATCTTGGATGCAATTATTTTATCTAGAAGAATGAATGTGTAAATGTTCCTGTAATGCAGATGACATACTTATTGTTTTTGTATCTATAGAACCTCAAAGTATCTTCCATGACTGTGGCTGATTTAAAGGGAACAATTACCAAGAGATCAACCCTTTTTTTAATCTTATAGGATGCTGAGTTTTTAATAATTTTGGGTTTCGCCAATATATTTTAATGTATATTGTTTTCATCATCTTTTTTTTACTTTAAAGATCACACGTGCAGAAGAAAGTTATTGTGATGCTTCCTGGGGGAAAGAAAATCGAACTACTATTCTTAAATGGGTCAAAACAATGAATTGTGATTAGTTTTCATAGGACAACAAACTGAAGAGCTATTTCAGTCTCTAATTACCTGCTGATTTTCAACTTTAACTGCAGGCTCTTATGAGCATGCCTTATATTAATGATTTGTAAAACTTTCTATGACACGGGAACAGCAGATTAATATGGACTGATATGTTAACTCTCAATATTTGTCTAGTAACAGTATATACCTTTTTGTCTAGCCATATTTTTATAAAGTAGAAAAAAATATTTCCAAACATTTTATCATGCCCATCATATAAATCACAAGAGATTAATGGAGTTGGCAGCTTTGAGGACTTGAAGGAAATAATGTAGCATAGGAAAAAGTAAAGATTATTTTTGTCACCCAAAGTCTTCTAAGAAACATTCACACTACAACCTATGCCTTCTGTTACTTGGGGTAGTGGAAGCTGGCCCCACAATGTTGCATTAGGGGGCGAGAGTGGCTGAGATTTCCTCACAAGCAAAGAACTCATGAGCAAAGCAAAGCACTCTATTCTGATGGACACCAGTGGAAGCAGTTATAAATCATGGTTTGTTAATTAAATGTGTTGACTGTCCATTTATCCCAATGATGGGCTTTTTCTGCCTCTTCTGAACAGTTCTTTAAATTGACCTGTTGACTTTGAAGGCTAATTGTGGTATTCCATAGCTAAGCTGCAAAATTCCATATGCTCCCTAGAGAGCTGTTAGGTTTTTGTATCTCTTTACTACCATTCAGTGGATATTTTGAGTTTTTCAAAAGAATTTCCAGAGAACAGCAGGTTCTTAGTCCAATATGAATTAGAGAGAGAGGTTAGAAGTTTCCTGAAGATGGATTCCAGCACGAGTGTGAAAGCTCGGAAGATATGTCTGGTCCCGGTGACCAATCCAAATTGGATCCTGCAACATTATCCTGGGACATGTATATTCACCTTCATTCGCTAAATGAATTATTTTCTCTAGAGAAAGTAGTCAAATGAGTTATGCATTACTTGAGTTATATACTAGAAACCATTTATTATCAGATGCCAATATAAGAGGATTATATTAGATAAGGATTACAGGTGCTCCAAGCATGCAAATTGGACTGCTTGGCCAACCCAGTATTATACCAACTAGGCAGGGAGAACAACTTGGCAAAAGTATTTATGGCCTAGTTCCTGCCATAGAATTGGATATTTCCAGTCTTACAGCAATTTTAGATTCCAATGTCTTTCAACTCCAATGAATCTGGCCACAAAAAGTAGGTCTCATTATGGAGAATGCCATGTTGTCCACCATTTCTGCCTATCATACACATGTGAAAGAATCTATGCTCTGAAAGGAAATTTGTTTGTAATAATCCAGTCAACACTGACTTTCAAAAGTTATGCAATTATTGTTCCCTGGAAATTCTAATTTCAACATAACTGGAGGAAACCAAATGGGGAAAAAACTGATTTACTAGTTCAATGATGTCAGGAGAAAAATGTGCTAATATCTTCATGTTTACCTGGGAACATTGGAAATTATTAGTGGTAGAATTTTGTCAGTTTCTCTACCTGCAGACAATTCATGTAGAATAATTTTCTTTAATTTCTTAAAAACATTCTTTTTAACTTGCATCTTAAATCCAATTTCTCATTTCTTATGTGGTTACCAAAGATAAGATATTTTTCTTTAAGATATTTCGGTAGTATTAAAATACCAAACAGAAATATTGACAGATCTGGCCAATTTCGGCCATAGTATTTAACCCAAAGATTAAATCTGTTTACTATCTCATGTTATTTTTGATAGAAACTTCATTTTTTGTGTATAGTTAGTAGCAAGGACAGATGGTCAAAGCCTGGCAGAATTATAATATAGAATTTGATCAATATTTGCTTACACAGATTGGAAATATAAATCAACCTATTTTTTTTATGAAATAAGATGTTATGGTTCAGTGTAAGTAGCTTATAGAGCAACTCATATGATGCTAAAATGCTGCAATGATATTATCAAGCAAATACCATTGTATTTGAGTCTTGACAACCAGCCTAAGGTGGTTAATTTATGGCATTTGTATGATGACATTTAACGTATGCCATCACTTCCTCTCCCTCCTGGTCAATGTTGTTTAGGTTGGAGGATTATTGCACTGCTTTCAAAGGCAATTCAAAACTCAACCTGGCCTCAGAAAGTTTCTCAAGAATTACAACAAATGGGTCATGGATACAGGTCATTCACCTCGTTCAACAGAAACAAAACATTATTGTGCCCTTTTTCCATATACTTGGATGTAGTGAGAAATGAAATGTTTGGTGTTATTTCCATGTAATTGAATTAAACCCAATTTAAAAGGTGTGAATCTCATGTCTTTCAATTTTATTTTTCTGTGGATTTTTTGTGTACCCTATTTGTTTGAGAAAGTACTGCTAATTCACCTGTGTGGAAGGATTTTAGCATTCCCCTGCTCCCGCAATTAATGAGAAATTCTACCTGGCTTGTATTTCCATGCACATAGCACTGGATTTATGTGCCTGGATTTTTTCTAGTAATCAAAAACAACACAGGCCCTGTCCTGTGTTAAAGGATTTTAAAAGTATTTTAAAAGACTTTTGTTTTAATATGTGCTTTTATCTGATTGGAGCATGGATGGTAATAGTTAACCCAAATATTCTGGAATAGTGGAACAGAACTTTATTAGTAACAAACTGACCTTGTTTTAACACATAGTTACTTGCTGCTGAACATTTTAGCTCATTGTCTAGAATCGATGCGTTCCTCGAAGTGCTCCAAATCTGCCCCCCCCCCGGGGCGGATGGGACTATTCGTTAATTGTTGACATAGTTAAAGTAGCATTTATTAAATTATTTTCATTCAGTAAATGTTTGGGGGTCAATGAACAATCTGGAATTTCATGAAGGCAAATCAGCTGAATTTGATCTAAGAAGAGGGGGGAACTTTCCTTCCTCATTGCTTCCATCAACATCATAAATAACGCAAAAGCCAAGGAACTGCAGGTCTTATCTTGAGGGTAGATATGAGGAGGCACAAATTCTCCATTCCTCCTTGAAAGGGAGGGTAACGTAGGATTAGTACACTAAGATGATGATTATTAAGATTTCTACACATCAGTTCTGTTCTATATTACTCTATTGAAAGTTTGCACCACACCTTTTGTTGTTTAACACAAGTCCCCTGAACTATCACTATATGTGACAGCCATATGTTTACATTCTTCATTCCTAAAACTGGTATTTCCATACAATGGCTGTGGGGAAGAAGTAAAACTTCAGAACAAAGTTCTTGCATGGAAAAGGGATAAGTAAGCTGTGCTCAGAATTTGACAATTGCAAGTGTCAATATATTGCTATTTATGAGTAGGATACTTGTGATAATTTTCAGGCAAATGAAGTCACTTTTTGTCTCAACTCTCATGTAAATGCACTTTTATGTCATAATATGTGGTTGTTAATGTAATTTTTAGTGAACAACTGTAAATATAGTGAATAAATTTTATTCTGTTAATATAGCTTCAGGAATTATGGAACACCATTTGTTCTACTCTGTATTCTAGAGTTGAATTTGTGAGGCCTCAGTTGTGATGCATTTTTGTCATGTTAAGTTTTGCTAAATCTGATGCATAGGAATAATCTCTCTGAACAGGTGCAGAGAGGATTTCCTACACTATTAATATTTATGGATCTCTGATTAGGAAGCAGAAACTTAAAACAATTATGAAACAAGAAAACTTGAATTTAAAACTTCATTTAAAAATAACCAAAATTACAGGTAGTCCTGGCTTAACAATTACTATTGGGGCTGGCAATTCCCTTGCTAAGGCGGCACAGTTAAGTCAAACACCATGTGACTGTGCTGGATTTATGATGTCATTTACATTGTGGTCTTTAAACGTGCAGTTGTTAAGTGTGACTGAGACTTGTGATTTTACTGCCAGTTTCTTCACTGATTTTGTCAGAAGCCAGTTGTCAATGTGCAAATAGCAATCATGTGACTATGGGATGCTGCGGTGGTTGTAAATGTTCACCAATTGTGAAGAGCCTGAATTCTGATCACATGACCAAGGGATCACTGCAATGATTATAATGGTTGTGCTTTTTCAGCAATGTCATAACTTTGAACAGTCCAAGGCAATTGTTAAACAAGGACTATCTATTCAGACTTGCAAAATTTTAGTATCTTTTGCCTCTCAATTGCCTTGGCAAGCTGGTACCCCCTCCAGCTGTATTATTTATTTTTATATTTTCTTATTTCTTGAAGACTCATAGTAGTATTAAAACTGCAACTTTCAGAATTCTCAGTGGGCTTGGTGTAAGCTGAAGTGAAGCTGGAGACTGAACTGAGCAACATTCATTTGCAATTTTCAACTCTCCTCTACAATTATGGATTCTGAGACATTGCAGAAAGTGTTAATCCTTGTTTATGTATTTAAATTTTTGACTGTCTAGAATGCATCCATACAAATATGCATACTATCTAAATCTCAGATTTCAGAGTTTTCAATTCAAAAGTAAAAACAAGTAATATGTCAGCAATACTGGCAATTTTCCCTAAAGCTGTAATCTTAAACTGTTCAAAGTAAGATCAAGTGAACAGGGACTTACTTTTAAATAGACAACTGGTATTGCTCTGAAGTTCATTTCAGAGTGTTTCTTATAGGCAGACCTTTAAGCTGTTATACAATATATTTGCATTTATTTCCTTGGTAAAATACATTTATAAAATAAATTTAAGAAACTGGCAATGGCATAGAAATCAAAATGGTCAGTAAATTTCTGTCTTCGGACACAGATGGAACTACTCAGTGAAAAACTATGGAGTCACTTAACTAAAAAATAATTCATCAGTCATTCTGTGAATCAGTTTAAAGCATAATCTGTTTTGCAGATCAATCAGGAGTTTATTCAACCAAATAAGGGTTTAGCAAGGTGAATGTACTTGCTGAAATTATAGAACAATTCCAGTATCAGAAATACCAGAAGTATATATTTCTAGCTCTCAGTAAGGACAGGCACTTATCCATTATCACAGTGATGGGTAAAGTTCATGTAGTTCCTCTTCGGACATTGGGAAAGACCCCATAAGAATGGTGAAGAATGAGCTGGACCTTGGAAATAAAATACCAAATTCCACGAACTAGAATATATTCAAATGATCACCCCACAAAGAATAGAAAGTATATGGGTAAATTGTCATTTGTCATGCATCATTCTTGTTTGCTCCAACATACAATGATCAGTGGTGATTAGCCAGATACATATATACAATTGCAGAGAATCTTTGTAAGTTGGTATTTAGTAATATTTGTGGGGTTTTTTTTAAGAAATCAAGCTGGCAAACAGCTTTTGTTTTGCTCCGAAAGGAATTGTAGAAAACATGGGATAACATGGAGAGGATAGGAGAGATGGTGGTTATGTATTCATCCTTGCTCTATTTGACCTTTTGGTGGCTTTCGATACCATTGGTATCCTTCTGATAGACCCAGATTAGGGGTGGGTGGCATGGTGTTCTGCTGGCTCATCTCCTTCCTTCAGTCAACTCCAGATTGGGGAGGAGACACCCTTCCATGGCCTCTACTAAGTGGGGTGTCACAGGGTTAGTGCTTTCTCCTCTATTCATCTAAATGAAGTTGCTGAGTGAGCTCATCCATCTCTATAGGATAAGCCACCATCAGTGTTAGATCTGGCAAAGAAGGCATTCTGCAGGCACCATTAGCTAGGGATCCCAGATCTCACAATTTGATGGGTCCCAGAAAATGCCTTCTCTGTTATGGCGCTTGCCCTATGGAACATACTTTCTTCCAAAGTTAGATAAGCTGTATCCTTTTGGGTATTCTGGAGGTCCCTCAACACCTGGTTATATTAGCAGGCTTTGCCTAGGTTCATTTTTTATAATATTTATCTTTTAATATGTGTTTTATTTTTATTGTGTTATATATGCACTGTTTACTGGATTGTTGTACGCTGCCTAGAACCACTTTTTATGAGATGAGCAGCTACACAAAACTGATAGTCGGATCACTTTCTCTTTCAAAATTTGATTTTTCTCATCCCAATTTCAGAAACTATTTTGAGGATTCCTCCTTCCTTTTGTTCCAGAGTCAATACCATATAGTACATTCATCCCTTTTCCTATTATTTTCTTCCATTTATTATCATCTGTCTAGAAATACTTTCAGCTACTAAAAACTATGTGAGACCAGAAAGAAAGGCTAATTACAGGTTTAACAGGAACAGCTAAAAAAGTTTACAATAATTATCAGAATGTTTAGAGTCAAAAGAAATTGCCTCGACTTTTGTTATTTAACATTGTGTACTAGATAGACAAGCTTTGTTTTAATATGTTGAACACCGATGGCACATGCAAGCACAGGGCCACACATTAGAAAAATTAGAAGTCCTTATGAATTTATTTACACAATTATTAAAGTACACAAATACAGTGGTAATACAAATGAGGTGTTCTGAGATATTGTTACCAATACACAGGTTTATAGAGACATTCTAACTATATTTTCAGCAGGTGATGGTGAGATTTAAGTATAATGGAAAGGCAGAGACTGCCCACAACCAAGAACAATTTGAAAAGTTTGCAGTCAACTTTTTAAGTATAGTACAGCAATTGACGGTTCCAGATATATAGAAAGAAGAGGCTGCCTTTTAAGTCTCTAACATTACATCATTGACAACAAATATTTACAAATAGCACACTGAAGTGTAGAACTGTACAAATGGAAGTGCACATGCCCAAAGAACCAACATCTACAGCAACCAGTGATACAATTATTCAAAATTTTCCATGGACCAACATTAAAACACGTTCCCATTGCACTCCCCCAATCATAGGTTGCATCAAATCAGACCTCAAACATACAAATAAGCAACAGATTAAAGTTCTAAGGTAGCGAAAGAAAAGTAACAAGATTGTTCATAGTTCAAAATCCACAGAAGTGAAAAAGAGGAAACAAAAGGTGACCCGACAAAAGCTTTGAAACAAAATGCTTGCAAATTAACAGGAAAATAAAATCTCATGGAAAATAAAATCTTACTCGTCACCAAGTTTCCAAGGAGGCAAGAATTCTCACGTTTATTAAAAAGTAGTAACAACACACCTACATATTGCATTTTCATCCCCGAAGTGGGACTGATGGTGCTTTTGAGTGGTATTTGGTATGACTCACATGCCTTCTACTTTCCCAGATTACTAAGGGATAAATATATTGCTCATGAAAACGAAGATTCTTCATGTATATTAGCTGGCACACTAAGTGTTTTGGCCACTATATAAATATATCTTCAGCTGAAGGCCAGCTGTTCCAGGCTTGCATGTTTTAATAAAGAATGAAATAATTCAATAAGCTTGAACGTTCTCTTGACTTCTTGCAGAAGGAACAGATTGCTTATAACTCCGAGCCTTGGCGGAATGCAGCCGGCTGGCGGCACTCGCTGCCTCTGTGCCCTCAAGAGGCCCGCCCACGTCCACACTGCTCCCCCTGCAGTGGCAGTGCTTAATTGGCATCTGTAGGAACAACCCAGCAGAAACAAGGCATCCTGCCCCTCTCCAAACCCTCCTCTATTATGAATAAAGGCAATACATTCTACGTTCAACATTAAAAACTTCCTGAAAGATTATTTTCGCATATTTTTTTTGTCCTTCAAAATATATGAAGCGTTATTTTCACCTCTACTCCGGTACAGCTTTTTCTTCCAAAAGATCTCCCACTCTTTCTTGAACAAAATGAGAGACAAATCAACATTTCAAAACAAAACAAAACTGTGGGTGGTACATGGAGGTTTAAATTCTAAAAAAAAAAGGACCCCGACGACCCTGGAAGAACAAGACAGCCGTAAGTAAAACTAAAAATTAAAAAACACTTGAGAATCCCCTTGTCCTGTCGAACGGGACCATAGAAAAGTAAATCGTGTAAAATAAAAAGAAACATCTCTAATTCAGTTAGACATTCCCTTCTCACTTAAGCTTACAAGAAGTTTCAAGTCTTGAATATTTTTTGTTTTGTTTTAAACCAAGCTTTAGAATTTTCACATTTCCACACAGGGTTTGAATGAGACAAGACTTTTTTTTTTTTTATAGAGAAGTTAAACCAATAATCTTAACAAAATGAATACAAAACTTTCTTAAACCAAGTAAAAGAGTTATAATTACAGTAGAACAATAAAAAGGGGGTGAAGACTGCCGCCTGCTGAGGGACAACTAAAATGGCTATTAAATAACAGGCGGGCAACGCTGTATACCACCGCTTCCTTTTCTAGCCCTGTTGCTAGAGTTCATATAAGGTTATTAGGTTTCGGGCTAAAGCCTCTTGTAGTGTGGCAGCTGCTGGATTCTGTCCATGTTCCTGTGAGTATCTTTAGACAGTGGCAAGGAGAGTTCCAACTGGAATATTTCTTCTGCTCTAGTTTGGGATAGTTTGCTAGTAAAAGCCATTGATAACATAGGAGATCAGCCATGCATTATCTGCCCCTCAATGGCAACATTATTTCACCGATGCAC